GCTATTTCAAACTTATTTAGTAGTTGCTTCAGTTCACTTTAGATTTTTAGTTATAACTTTAATTTATTCTAACTTGAGTTGAATTCATTTTGAAGTTACTCTGAAGTATACTACTCTATTAACAACTCTAAATATAATAATAAAAATAACTAAAAATCTATCTTATAATAGTAAGATAATAATCTATATCAGAAAATTAATTTTAGTACTATTCTGTGCAGATTTGCAAAAAATTTAATAAATTTAATAAAAATCTGTGCAAATCTTCAGGTCTGCTACTGATAGATACAGAAATTAAATACAATTCTGTACAAATCTGTAAATTTACAAAATTTCGTAGATTTTTACTAAAAATTTTATAAAAATCTGTACTTTTTTTGTATTTTTACAGATCTATGCAGATTTATATCTATTTTACTTTTCAGATATAACTTATATTATTAAAATATAATTAATTTTTTTTTATTAAATAAATATTATTTATATCTTGATTTATTACTATTATAATTCTTTTGTTAACTTGTTTATTTTTATGTTTTAAAATTATTTTTATATTTTTAAAACTTTAAAATACTTTTTTTAGTTTTAATAAAACAAAACAATGGATTTTTTTTGAAATCTAAAAATTACTGATTTTAGAAAATATTTAAAATGAAAATAATTTATATTTCTTAATAGTTTTTTTGATTAACTTTAAAGTTAGAATCATTTTATATTAAGGTTATATATTAGGTTTAGATAGTTATATACAAGCAAAATTGCCTTTCTGATATTTTTACTTAACCTATCTAAAGTAGATTTAGACTACTATTCTTTGTATTTTTTAGGTTTTTCGTTTTTGGTTCTTGTTTTGCTTCTCTAGAGAACATCAAAATTCTATAATTAGATTGGCCGTAGTCACGTGAATTTGCCCACTTTAGACGACCCTCGATTTTACTAAAAAAATTCTCAACAAATTCCAAGAACTCGATTTCAGTATATTAAACTTTCACCTAGTTTTTATCTCTTCATATTATTATCACATATTATCATGTGTTATAATACTTTTGTACTACGTGTTACAATAAGAAATCATAATTATCATCAAAGCATTAATAAAAATATCGTGAAGGCAATTTTACATATACGTACAAATATATCTTATCTAATCTAACTTAAAATTGCCTTAACCCTAAAGTTAATTAAATAAGGCGAATCACGAAATAAACTTACTTTTTTATAATATTGTGAAAAATCGAAAAATCAAAATTACCGGTATCAGATATGTAAAAAAAAATATTCTGTAATTTATTAATGCAGTTTAATTAACGCAATTGTTAATGAATGTTACAATAAAATTTATTGTAAATCGTTAGTTTTTATTATATTTCCTTATTAACGTTAAGGATGCAAATAAAAACAATATATAAATCTTAAAAGGATTGCATAAGACTGGGGTTCACAACATTTTTAATATATAAACAGTTGTTACAGAATGCTTTGTCTTCTTTGATCTGCAAAAATAAAAAATAAAAAATCTAAACTGTTAGAACAGATTTATCCAAAGGACGAACAAACTTCTAATATAATAAAATATTTACAGATAAATGGGTTACATTCGGAAAATCGAAAAACAATTATACTAAGATAGCCTCTAAACTCAAAACGAACATTAATCATAAATGGTTCTTTAATATCCAAAGTTTGTAGGACAAATCAAAGTACAAGCCCAACCATGTTGTATTTTAGTAAGGAGTGCTTAAAAAATAACTTTCCATTTACCACTTACTGTTACTCCAATAACATATCAGATAATTAATTACACACACTAACTATAGCTATAGATAACGATAAGTATAGATAACGATGATAATTTTTTATTTTACTGTATATCTAAACCTAAAAATCATTTATTCGAATATATATATTCAACTTTGTTTATTATCACGTTAATGAAATAAAAAGATAAATTATAGAGAAAGAATACTTTGTCTTAGATACTGTAGTCGTATTGTTGTATTGTTCATGTGTCATACGCATTGTCTAAAGTTTCACGTGAATAAATCTTTTCGCTGCTATTAATATATGTTGTGTGGATGAGATTGTTCAATTAAAAGTAAACCTACTCAATGCAACGTTTCACAAGAGACTTTAACTGATTTTTGTACTGAAAAAAAAACAAAGATTGTCTAAACAGTAAAGTTTGTTTTAATTAATCGATAATGGAAAATTTAGAGAACCTTGTGAAACTTGTTTCATTCTTGTTTCCCTTTTAAAAGTTTTCATTTCTATATATAATTACCGCCTTCACATTTTTGTTAATTTTTACCCCTAAAGTTTCCATACCCGTGTTTGCTCTATTACTTTAGTATCTGTAGCAAAACAGAAAGTGTGCTTTTGGCAGTGCCAATCTGAGGAACGCTGGTCCGTTTACAACGAACACGCTTCTCGGTTTAGGTCGGAGTAATCTCGCGAGTTCTCCGTAAAAAATCCCGATAAGTCGGTAATATCGCGAATTCTCCGTTTAAAGGAAACCCAAATATCGAATAACTTTGATTTGAACAAAATCAATCCATTTCGATATTTTTCAAATGTATCGTACTTTAGCTCGGGTGTTTGTTTTTTTGGTCTCTGCTCTGTTACTGGTAATGTTTATTTATTTATTTATTTAATAAGTTTTTTACTCGTCGTACACGTTCTAAAATCATTCAGTTTTTGTTATTTTCTACTTCAATGAATTATCAGCTTTATACCTTATTCGTTGCTATTGTTACTTTTAAAGGATTGAACTGTAAGTTGATGAAAATTGTCCTATAATTGACGGTACAATTTATTTACAAATTTTCGCATTGTCGCAATGCAGAAGTACTGAATTTCGTTCAAATGTTACTGTAATTCTGCTATAAACCGCAATTATACAATTGATGTCGCAATTCTGTAATTTATAGTCAACTATAAACTTGCCACATTTTATATTTCAAGTAATGACTTTTCATCTTCAATTTTTAGTCACTACCAATCATCTTAGTAATCCACTTTTGATTGGTTATGCTGTTCTCGAATTAGTAGTAGCGCCTTCTGGTTTATTTGGAATCTGTGGTTCTATTTCTAATAACATACTCTTGATGAATCGTTATGCACGCGATCATTGGTTCTCTTTTATTGTCCTTACAATTATTGATATTGTAAAGATAATTCTTTCTTTTACGATGAAAGATAATACTATAAATTCTTGCGTGAACGGTTCTGTTGATCCCAATGATAGGTTTAACTGTCAAGATATAGCAAACTTTAATATAAGAGCGGGTCTTGTAGTGTTTGGAGCCCAAGAAATTATTTTAGTAAGAGATTTTTTTTTTGTCTTATTATAAATCTTGAAATAACATTTTTTTTTTAAAGGACTTTCATTATTGGTTAATAGGCTGTTCTTGGTTCTCTCGTATGGTTATGCGTAAAACGTGTATCACAGAAATCAAAAGACAGAAAAAATCGTATACCGGAAAAGCAGGAGATTAAAGAAATTGATATGGAAGTTCAGGAGTCTCATGTAGCAAATGATGTTGCTTCTACCTTTTCCGCTGATTTATTAGAAAAAAGGCAACATATGGATCAGGATAGTTTAATAGCAAACCCCCCTTCTCCATTCATCCGTAGACCACCTCTAAATCAGAGGCAAGAAAATCAAATATCTAATGAAATTAAACAAGGATATAATAGTTCGCAAAATGATTTGAGAATGAAAGAAAATCAAGTCAATTCAAACATTACTCAAAGTTCACAGGGATTTGATCAAATACATACTGCGCCAACACGTAAACCTCTTATAAGATCGTCGACATTATATGCAAGGCCTCCAATTGTTCATGGGCACAACACAATGTTACCTTCCCAACTAATATCTCGAGATGCACCAGAAATGCGCTCAGTAAATGGTAATGGCATGATGTATCCACCTATTCCAAATCAAACTGAATCTATATCAGGATTTCATCAACCATTAGATAATATGTCATTTTTTCGTGGTTATAAACCATCGGATAATTTTCCTCAATCTCGACCTCTTCCTTTACCACCTCTTGTTAACAATCCAGAAATATATCAGATTTCACAATCAGCATATAAAGGAAACTCTCAGTATAAGATCGATCGACCTCAGTCAAATGTGCCTCATTTATCACTTAATCATTCAAAATCATTACCAAGTTTGCGCAGCAGTATAATTGATCTTCAAACATCACAGCCTTCTTCTGATTCGGTGTATAATAACCAACAATTCAATAATAACTTTATTACAATGTCGAGTAATCAACATGAAACTAACATTTCACAACCAAAGACTCTTAACACTCAATTAAAATCTCCTGAGATGCCTAATATTATACAAAATTCTGATAATAATGTGAATAATGACTCGTTAAAAAGAATGAGAAGAAAATCTGCACAAAGTATTAAAGGAGAAGCAAATCCAAGATCAAATGATCCTTCATTATATAATCACTATAATGATTTACTAAAACATAACAAAAACGCTTATAATAAGCCAACATCAAATAATGATTATATAAATAATAGTTATGTTGCTCATTCAAGGTTATCAAATCAAGTAGTTCCTTATAATGGTGTAACGAAACCAGGTAGTAATAGCAAAAACAACATTAATAAACAAAACTTTATGAATGGTAGTTATACAAATAATAGCTATGCTACTCGTTCAAAATTATCAAATCAGGTAGTAGTTCCTCTTGGTGAAAGAAGGAAATAAAAAAATTTAAAGAAACGTTATTATTACATAGACCTAATTTTTTTTTTTACAGGTTGTCTTTCATATAAGCATACCTATTTTTTGTTTGTATAATACTATAATATGTACTTTGTATTGGTTGGAACTATTTAGATGTATGTACTTTTTCATAGTAATAATGAATAAAAAATTGGTAAATTTTTTTTTTTTTTTTTTTAAATGTAAAAATCTCGTGAAAAAATTTTTTATTTTCTTTTAAGACCGTTTATGTACGATTTATATCGTTTTTCGATTCTTTCAAGATCGACAGAAGTTTAACTAATGAAATCTTAGCGTTAGTAGTACTAATATAGACATGAAAATATATACACCGCATAATACAAACAATTACACTTAATGTGAAAACCATATGCCAAGCAAAGAATAAATATTTAACTTTCATGTTTAATCTATTTATCCTAGCAAGTTTTGATAAGAACTTCGTGTAACCACCATCTGGTTAGTTGATTTTCAATAATGAAATGTAAGGCGTAATATATTAAGTTATATTCTAGATAATAAGCAATAAAATCATGCAACTAAATTTAGTTGCTAGTTATATACTGAACTAGACACGCTTTACCTCACGCAAGATAGAATTCAGAGAACATTGGCATAGAAGCTATAGGCATGCCAAGCTGGCATGCTCATAATTATAATTAAAATGATACAAATTATATTTATTCAATCTAATTAGTTAAATATATTATGGTATGCATTCTAACATGAATTTAGTAAAATGGCATGCCAACCAGAATCAGTAGTATACTCCTTTAAAATGATGGATTAAAAGAATAGCAATATGGTATATATAACCTGATCAGTATGGTAATCTGCTATCAACCCTAACTATAATTCCTAATCTTAAATTATAACACCAGATCAGTATGGTACGTATAGTTTTTAAAAATCGAGCCTATACCATACTGATCAGGTCACTTATACCTCGTATAACCTGATATATTTAACTAATTTTTGGAATCATATATTATATTTGATAAAATATATAAAATATCGCGGATTACAGTAAGATCGAATTATGGTGAGATTTGGACCTATTTTAATATGAAATTTT